AATATTTATTTAATGTTGGATTTATATTGGAAATACGTTGACCAATATTTCCCAATATAAAATTAATATTGATCTTAGAATAAATATTAATCTATTGTCAATATTACACATCAATAAATACGCAATATTGGATTTACATTAAAAATGCATTGGCCAATACTTCTCAATGTAATATGAATATTAAAGGAGAACAATAGGCAAGTGAGAGTCAGCGCTGATGTACGAGCATATTTTTATTTTTAAATGAAAATTGTAAACGTTTTAGTCCTAATAATTTGGACCCACAGTACAATTAATATTATAATATAAATATTATTATATAAATCCAATGCCAATGATGTCGAATAGACGGAAATTGTCAGTTACCAAGCTGACAATAAGCGAAATCATGAGCATCCGTTACAGAAAGTCTCTCTGACTGAGTATTACACCCTTATAGAAATATCATACTAAGAATCATCCAGTATTTTTAATACTGAAAATAAATAATTATCAATAATTCTTAGTATGATATTTCTATAAGGGCATATAGAATGAAGACCAACGTACGGCCATTGTTATGTTTCAATAATTGCACGATATTGTGTTTATGTTGGCAATGCAATGGCCAATATTTGCTAATATAATTATCAATACTGATTATAGATTAAATGATAATTTATTACCAATATTACGTGTCAATAATAAGATGGTATTGCATTTACATTGGCCAAATTCCTCAATATTAAGCCAATATTAGGCATGGAATTATTACAAATATATACTAATATTGTACGCCAAATGTTTGTATAATATTGGATTTACATTGAAAATACGTTGAACAATATTTTCCAATATAAAATTAATATTGATCTCAGAATAAATGTTAATCTATTGCCAATATAACACGTCAATAAATACACAATATTGCATTTACATTGGAAGTGCATTGGCCAATATTTCCCAACATAATATGAATAATATGAATATAATATAATATGAATATTACATATAGAATGAAGGCCAATGAACGACTAATGTTATGTTTCAACAGTTATACGATATTGCGTTTACATTGGAAGTACATTGGTCAATATTTCCTAATACAATATTAATATTAATCTCTGAATAAATAGTAATCTATTGTCAATATTATATTTCAACATTTACACGTTATTTTATAATCTCTTATGTCTTTGTCTATTTAATACGAGCAATAAAAAAATTTTTACTGTACAAATTTTATGACTGAAATGGAATGTGTGGTGTTTCGTAGATCTCACCTCACTAGTTAAGGTTTAAATTAACAATAAAAATACAAAAAATATAATTTTTATTAAAATTAAATCATATTATAACAAAAATTATATTACAGCGTTAATTGCAACATATGTAGACAAAATATAATATAAAATATTATATAAGGCGTTAATTGCAACATATATAGATAAAATATAAGACGTTTATATTGATCAAAGAAGATTGGTGTAGTATCTAAAGCAATAGACTCATAATCCAAAGATGCCTTAAGTCCAAGTTTGAATCCCAGTGTTAGTGAGAATTTTTAAGTGTGATATAACATTTGGAATCAAGTCTTAAATTTCAAGTAAAGTCAACAAACGCTGACTAGTTCTTCATTTCAACCAATTCGCCAATATTTGTAAAAAGTGGGACTTTTTGCGCTTATTTGAATATTTTTTTTAAATTCTATATTTATGAATATTTTGGGATATTCTATGATATTCTATGATATTCTTGGAATGTTAATTTTGGATTTTAGGAACAAATTTTCCAGGAATATCTAGCGTTTACTGGAATTAGTTTCACATTAGGATCCAATTAATGTCCAACGTGAATAAATTGAGTAAATATTATTGCTTAACATTTGTCAAATATTGTCCAATGCTATTGGATCAATATTGCTGACCAATGTTGGTTAAATAAGAGGCAATATCCATTTTACAATATTGGACCAATGTTGGGAAATCAATTCATACTCAATATTTAACATTGGATTTATATAATTTCCCAATATTGCGCCAAAATTTTATGCTACTAGGGAACAATATAATATATTTTAATAGGCTCTTTTCACACGTAAACACGATTAAAAAGTATATGATAACCTCGAAATATTCCGAATCCACACAATAATGCTACTTTAAAATTAAATATAAGCAAACTAGAATTGCAAAGATGACCTTCATTATCCAGTTTTATGCTTCTTAACATTAAATTACTTAATATTATAAGATTTTTCAATGTCCAGATATGTCTCTTGCTCCGCAATAAAATCGTTGTTTTCCATACATTCCCAGTAAGCAATCTGTGCGTAGACTGACGTCAGATTGGCAGTAGGATCTGTCGACAGATCCATAGTCATCTGCGTCTTCAATCTGCCATCAGACCAGGAGCTACAATGTCCTATGCATTTAGATGGGCTAGCGTTTTTGGCGTCCTCACCGTATGACACCAGTGTAGAACTAAGAATCAATATGGCCGTCATATATAAGCATGCACACACACACATACGCGCGTGCGCGTGTATGTGTGTATGTGTATCCAATAGAAGGTATTTAGAATCCGCAATAAAAAAATAAGTGGAAAATAAAAAGAAAACACTAATATAACTAATACAACTGAAACTTGGAGTTTATTGTGGTAAGTTTAATGTTAAGTATTTACATTTTCTTGTAAAATAAATTCTAATTCTTTAACATTATTCACATATTAATATTTTTTATTATTTTGTCCTTTTTTGTACTTCATTGACAATTTTTTTGCTTCATTATAAATGTAATTAGTAGTGCAAATATCTTTTAAAGTCCCTTGTAATATTTTATTTATAAAATTGTATCATTGTAATATAAATTGATGTGCACATTCTTCTATTAAATAGTCTTCACGTGAGATACAATGTAATGATATAGTTGAAAATGCCTTTAAATATAATATATTTTTCAATTTTTTCATTATTTTTACTTTATGGCAAAAGTTCACAATTTCTGATTCAGCATTTTGGAGTGCATGCTGTATATTTTTCAAAGTATCTGCATTTTGCAAATATTGTGCACATTATGCACATTGTTTTGCAATTTTACCAATTACAATATTTATAATTTTTTCTGTATCAATATATAAATCAGATGTTGGTAATAGTATTGCACTTTCTGCACAGTCTATTTCATCATTTTCTTCATCACTTATTTCAATAATTTCTGCTGCCTAGATTATTTTAGTAAGCGATAATGATGTAATTTTCTTTACAATTTGAAGAAAGAGAATGCTTTGATGTTAAATTAGTAGTGACAAATGTTGTCAATGAAACACAAAATTGATGAGGAGTTGGTTATTATTCCTGTATCCGTGACTTCTAATTTGACTAAAACAGTTTTCAACAGGGTCTTGATTGACATATCTTAAATTTAATGAAGAAAATGCCGACTTCTGTAACGTATTCCAAAGGTATTGTACTTCTTCGATGATCCATATTCAATTCGCAAGACATTTGGTGTTGTGTCGAATATATTTGTGAGTTATGTTATCAACAAAGTCCATCTTGCGAAGTATATTGACAGCGTTGTGCCAAAATGGTATATGATTACTTGAAGAAGTAATGACACTGGAATATTTTTTATTTTCTTTTCCGTTGAAAGAATCAAATAAATCGTCAAAAAACAATAAAACATCTGCCCAGCAAACAATTTGGTACCAAATTGTCGCCAAATTGACACCAAATATGACTAAAACTTGACGGCAAATCCGATGCCATCTGTAATATGCTTGGGTTTTGTTAGCAAAATTTGGTGACAAAATCTGACGCCAAATTATCGCCAAATACCGAGTAAAGTTTAGCGCCAAACTGCACAAACCTTGGTCGGTATTTGGCGTCAATTTGGCATTAGATTTTACCAAGTTTTGTTTGATATTTGGCATCAATTTGACGTCAAAGAGAATGCTTTGATGTTAAATTAGTAGTGACAAATGTTGTCAATGAAACACAAAATTGATGAGGAGTTGGTTATTATTCCTGTATCCGTGACTTCTAATTTGACTAAAACAGTTTTCAACAGGGTCTTGATTGACATATCTTAAATTTAATGAAGAAAATGCCGACTTTTGTAACGTATTCCAAAGGTATTCAAACTGCGCCGCACAAACCTTACTCGATATTTGGCGCCAATTTGCCAACGATCTTTGATTTAGCAGATGTTGTGTCCAATTTGATGACATTTTGGTAGCAAAATTTGTAGTTAAATGTTGAGCAAAATTTACTCGAGCAGATTTGGCTATCTGGGTGACGTTATTACAGCACTAGATGATAGTGCATATCTCCTTTTGTAGTCTTCACAATACCTATCCCGACGGCAGCTGGGTGTCCGCGCGGAGCGTGTACGGCGGGCGGCCGGGCCCCAGGCGCCGCTCAACTCGCGGTCGCTGGCCTCCCGCCGCCAGTGCGCGCCGTCACCGCGACGCGGCGATCGCGTCAGCCGGAGCCGCTTCTCGCGGTTAATTCTCGCTTAGGCGCCTATATAAGGCGCCGCGCGAGACCACTCGAGGCCTTTTGGCTGCGATTGCATATCAGGTCACTGCCTTATTGAGATATTCTTTTAAGCTCTAGCTAGCTAGCTAGCTTCATATCGCCTTTTTGAGTGCGCAAGCACGTTGGGCACTTGCCTCGCCAGAAGTATACTTTTGCATATCTGCATCGATCTTCACTGCCTTAAAAGTGTCGTAGATACGTTGGCATTTTGTGTTTAGGTCTTCGGTGATTCTACACAACTCTCCGCAGCTCTTTAGAGTACGTTTGCACGTTGGGCTATAGTGCCTCTAGAGTGTCCGAGGACACGTTGGCATCTGGGTTACGAAGTGTATGGTAACTCCACGGATCTCCACTAGGCATGTCGATTCATTCTAAAAAAAATCGATCTCCCATTCGAATCGAACGCACGAGAATCGATTTTCGATTAAATTGAGCATTAAAAGATCGATTCTCGATTAATCGAATCGTTAGTCGATTTTTTAATGTGCTTAATAAAGATGAGTGTCAAAGTTTTTTGTACAAACTTGCAATCAAGAAATAAAACAAGTAAATTATATGCGTTTATTGAATTAAATTAAGGAAAAAATTACATTTCCCAATATTTCAAATCAAGTGACTTTAGAAAGATTAATTTATCTAATCGCTCGGAATCTAGGCGACTCCTTTCGTCGGTTGCAATATTTCCCGCTACGGAAAAAAGTCTTTCACAAGGAACAAATGTTCCAACTATACAAAAGTATTTATTAGCAATCGGTCTTATTGAGCTGTAAAAAGAATTTTGTTGATGATGCCAGTATGAGATAGGATCTGTCGTTTTGAAGTAGACGACGGGCTGTGTCAAATAATGCTTCAATTCGTCTTGTAAGCCTTGTCCTTGATTTTCTTGTCGAATTGATTGCAGCTGATTTTTTACCAGCTTGTTATGGAATTCCCAAATATCAGGCTCTTCTGCCTCTTTAACCTGCCATTCAGAATTGTTCTCTGAATCTTCATGATTTAAATTATTCTCCAATCGTTTTTTTGAAGTCACAATCATGCTATTTATTTGGTTAATAGCTCTGGAGCATGCTATTCTATTAGAAAAATAAATTTTCTTAAATCCAGTAGTGTTGTGATAGCTAACATATAAACTTGTTCCACCGTATCAGATCTTTTCTTTAATCCGTCGACAATTAAATTTTTTGTTGCAGTGCCAACATCTGTTTTCGTCTTTATTGCACGGTATGTTTCCAAAAGACAAGATACTATTGGTATAATTTTGCTTAACGTTACGAATTTTTCTGCGGACATTTTTTTGTCACAGCTTCCATGGGTCTTAAGATATTTATAAGATTTTTAATAGCATTCAGTTGATTTGCCGTTAACATAGATGGAGCTTTCGGATGGTTGAGTAATATTGGAGCAATTAACTCCGATAATTTTACAAATCGTGCTAGTTGATAGTAAATCGAGTTCCATCTCGTACAAACTGACTGAATCAATTTGAGTGATACTGCTGAATTACTTTGCGCTTTACGGAGAGCATCAGCCGCATTTATGTTCTGCTTGCAGTATCTAGTTATATCTTTTACAATGTTTAGCAGTTGTTTGGCGCTTTCAATACCGTCTTTTTCTTCAAAAGGTTTTTGAGCTACTAAATTCAACGTATACGCGAAATACCATAAGTGTTTGTGCTTGCCATATACGATTGTTACGGCCTTGACAATATTAGCACCATTGTCTGTTATGAATGCTGCAACTTTTTCTCGAGTTATGCCCCATTTTTCAGTCATTGTTATTATCACTTGACTTAAATAGTCAGCATTGTGGGGCTCAGTTAAATGTGACACACCAAAATTTATATTCATTAATTCACTTTCGTATATAAAATGCCCTGTTAACCTCATGTAGCTTCTAGTATTATGTATATCTGTCCAGACATCCGCAGTCAAACATATTGATTCCACTTCTAAGAGCTTTTCTCTGAATTGCAATGAAAGAACGTCGTACTTGTCGTCTATCATTTGTGTAATTGTTCGTCGCGAAAGAAGTATATAAAGGCACCGCTGTTTTCATGAGGTACTGGAAACCTTTTTCAACTGTGTTTAATGGTAATGTATTTTTGCAAATCATTAACATGAGAGCATTATTTAACTGCCCACACTTCCGTTTACTGAAAAAAAAATATTAAAACTATTAATACATTTACCAATAAAATAAAATAAAAATTGTCACTATTCATAAATAAAACATGGTCATAACAGATAAATTAATTCATTATAATCACAAAAAAAATCTTACCACCAAACGCTTTAATATTATTAACACATGAATCCATAGTTAATTGATTAAGTTTTGACTTTTCTGATACTGATAATGATGCTACACTTTCTAGATCGGAATCACAGTTCTCTTTTGAACTATTCAAACTTAAAACATCACTTATGCCAAATTTCTCTTTCGAAGTTGACGGAGTATTAATATTGTCATTTGTCTGTAAAGAAATATCATTTATTTATTCTATTATTTTTATATTTAAATTGAAAAAGTAATAAAAGGATAAAACTTCAAGATTACGCAATCTTTAAACAAGCATGCATTGATAGAAAAAAATGTGATACACATATAGTGTATTGTAAGAAAAGGGTACACAGATACACATTTCAGTTTGTTTTTTGCTGCCACCAATATCATTATTTGCCACTATTTGTTTTCGATGACTTACAGACTTAATACAGGGATGTCTACGTAATAAATAGTTACGTAAATTTGTTGTGTTCCCGCATGTTTTCACTTCTATGTGACAGTGTTTGCATATGCCACTCGATCCTTTTTTTATAAAGTGATTCCATATATCACTTTTACTTGATATTTTAGACTGAAAAAAACAATATTTTAACAAAAGTGCGACGTACATTTATCGAAAAATCAATTTCAATTTAATCAATCACTATTAAACGAATCAAATCGAATGCTACTTACACACAAAACTATTTAGTATTATCAAAGGCCTCAGGGACCACCGAACAAAACACGTTCGCACGCGTCGACGACTCGTATGGAACATAAAACCACCAACACATCCACACACGTCAATGGAACTGTGAATCGGTCTCCGATTCAAGGGGTTCTTGGATCGATTCATCGAATCGATCCAGTGTTTCAGATCGATCTAAAAAATCGATTATTTTACCCTAAATAATCGATTTTTCGATTAATCGATCTCAGATCGACATGCCTAATCTCCACCTTCTCAAGATGATCGAGGATTGAGAGAAGGCTTCGCGTGACCACTTCGGATTACTTTGACGATTACGCCTCCACCGCGGTGGACGTCTCTCTTTGCAACATCTCCCGTATTGCATATACCGGGTATCAGCGCCGACAGAACTTAGTACGGTCGGGCTCACGACTCCGCGCAAGTCATCGTTTCATTTCTCACGCGAGCCAAGCTCGCTATTGTTTCGCTGCCAGGGCCGCAGCTCTCACGCGAGGCACACTCGCTATTGCTACGCTGCCAGGGCCGCAACTCTCACGCGAGACACACTCGCTATTACTTCCCTGCCAGGGGTACAGCGCTCTCGCGACACACGATCGCTGACCTAAGTCTACTCAAGACTCCAACGTCGTCGCATCCGCGACTCTATACGCGAGGAATATTCGCTTCTCGTCTCGACGAGACTTAGCATTCGTCACGCACGCGGTACTATCAACGCACGTCTACGGTTACGTGTACGTCAACGTCAGACTACGACTCGGCCGCGTACGCGATTCAGAGTTACATTCGCGAATAGGCTCTTACTACGAGATATAGCATTCGCCGCATGCGCGACTGTTCAGGCGAGCAACGTTCGCCAGTCTAACATCTCAGATTCAGTCTCTGTTGCTCCCTCGCCAACCTGAGCTGAATCTTATTCGGACTTGACTCCGACACTCACAAGGAAGACGGATAAGTGTCTCAATACTCTGAGTGATTATTATCCTTCGAAAGGGAGATTCCTTTCCAGCGCGGAGGCGCCGGACAACTCCACGCGTGCCCTACTCTGGGTCACGCCGTGCTCTTATACACAAGAGCACTATACTTCCTCACACTATCTTACGAGGCTCCTGAATAGGAGAGCACAAACTATACTCGCGCAATTGACAATAGTAGTCGATGAACGTTCGACGGCATATGAACTAGCCGCTCATCGTCTAAGGCTATTCGAAACAACCTATAATAGAAAAATATATTTGAATTTTATGTTTATTATACATGTGATGTAAGAGAGTATCTATATTTTTCATTTTATTTTTATATAATTATTACATCTTACTTTTATTCCATGTAATTACCAAGTCTATGAAATTTGTTACCGTGTGACTTAGTACCTTTACTAAGTACCTGTACTTAGTACCTGTAGTAGCGTACTTCACTTTCATTTTTGGAATACGATCAGCAAAAATGTGTCTATCATTTAATTTTGACATTTGCCGCTGTCGTAAAAAGGAATATTTATCCATCTTATATGCAATAATAATATCATTCCACGATGCATACTGTTTCTCTGACTTTTTCTTATATTTATTCATTAATAGATCTTTAGTTAATAAATTATTACGTATTCCTTTCTGTAGGTGTACGTAGTCATATAGCGGTATAACTTTTTGATTTCCCACAAAAAATGTATTCTCTGTTAAGAAATAAGTCCATAAGTCCACACACATCCACACACACACACACACACGCATATATAAAATAAAATTGATATTGTATAAATGACTAAATTAATAACTTTAATCAGGGTTGGGAAGTAACGCGTTACTTGTAACGACGTTACTATTTCGTTACTTTTTTTTGGTAACGATTTGGTAACGCCGTTACTTTTTTGTATCAGTAACGAAAAAGTAACGGCGTTACATTTTCTTTAGTAACGAGTAACGAAATTCATCGTTACTTGTATCGTTACTTTTTTACTATAGTGACTTCTCTACACAGAACACGGCAACGCTTGCCATGCGACGAAAGTTTGCACACGATAAACAATTAATGCTGCTTTCCGTAAAGCCCATTCTACAATAAGCAATAAATCTTAAGTCATAGTAAAATT